GATACTCAACAAGAAATCTCGTTATTAACTAGGCCTGTATTGTTAATTAGCACTTGGGCTTCAAATTTTAAATCTGGCTTGAGATATATAATTTATCAAAAGCTGTAGCTCGCTGTCAGAATCCTATAATAAGTGTACATTATTGATGAATTGAGATTAAACTAAGATCGAAGAGAAATTGGGCTGTAGGTTGAATTTTGAAAGGTCTGATTTCGATGTTTACAGTGCTAATTTGGGATTTTGGAAAATAGCTGCAGTCCCCTCATGATGAACAGCTGTGAATTTTTTTTTTCAGAAGAACCACCATATTTTGCCTATTCCTGTTGACCACCTCCTTATTTTTCCTCAATGGTCATCAATTTGCTTCTGAAATTGTGCTGCTTTACAACTGTTTCCAGAGATGGGCAAAGCAAAAAAAAAGTTACCCATTGCAGTTTGGATTTAAAGGTTTTGAAGTTATTTTGAAGTCACAAAACTAGGATCGCAATTATGTTCCCCAAAAGTGGCAAACACATCTGTTCACAAAGTCAACTAAATAAGAGGCATGTACCTCTCGGGGTCCACTGCTTCCTCCAATGCCGGGTGAGAAAGTATTACTTTATTAACTTATTGTTAATAAAGGGCTGGCTTGTGGGTGCCAAGGGTTACCTCCAAAAAGTCTGGCAAATGACCGAATGTGAAACCCTCAGACAGATGCTATAAAGCTACCATATCAATCCACTAGGACCATCAGCGAACAGACTGAAGATGTGCTTCCACTGCCTGAACTACTCAGAAGGTACACTCCAGTAAGTTGCTGAAAAGGTCCCCAGTCGAGTCATTATTGGCTGTGACCTGCATGACCTCTCTCAATCACACAAACTTTTGATTGTGAGGGACATACATCTCTCACAGGGAGGTAGTGGGCCTACACCATGCTAATTGACTCAGGCAACACAAACATGAAGCTTACATTTCCTGGATGGGACCTGTGCATGAAAGTGTCAGTGCTCAGCAATCTTCAGATCTTGCAGCAGAAGAACATTTCCAGAGGGATCATCACTTCTCAAGGCTTTCCAGAATGGGAATACAAGACTGTCTATAAGTGATTTACTAAATGTTCACATTCATGCACCCAAAGTGAAATCAATTTTCTTTTATCCCATGTTTCCTCGCACGACATCTGGGTGCTTCCTTAGCAGCAGTGAGCTACTCAAAGCCTGCTAACTGCTTTGCCATCATGCCACAGACAACTTCAATGGTTGTCCTCTTGTGGCCCTGGACTTAATGGGCCCCGGCCTGCTTGTGGATATCCTGCACAAGTGCAGCTCTGATCTGCTTGGCCTAAGCTGAGGAAAGTGTCTGGGTTCATGGCAGAGGTTAGTTGGTGGATTCTGGAAGGACAATTCTTGGTTGCCTATCTGTCACTCCACCTCGCGCAGCCCTTGATGAGATGGGGCAACTGGAAGAAAGTGAATGAAAGCAGCTACAGCTCAAGCAACATACTGTAAGTCTGAGTGCATATTTGACAGATACTGACTTGTGGCTAGACCTTGCTGGCCACAATGGCTGCTGCCCAGTCCATGGAGACAGCCATGTGGTAGGCAGACTCCTCTCCCCTTCGCTCCAGTCTGTGCAAGGTTTTCCAGCACCTCTACCACACATTCCACTGCTTTCCTCTGCATCTCCGTTAACTCATTAATGACCGAATGCAACCAGAAGCACATCATCTGTTCAAGCCTCTGCTTGGGTCTGTTCTTCAGCAGCCATCCATGTTTCAGAGACCTTGGCCATTTCTTTAATCTCCAGCTAAGGGCCTGTGTCTGTGCTGTGCTTACCAGAATGTGACCCTGAACGTATTCTAGAGAAACGTTACTCCCCAGGGTGGGAGTCTCTGCAGTAGTGGATGCTGTGCTGACAGTGCTGCCTCGGGGTTGACTTTGCGGAGCATGGAGAGAGGGCTTGGAGGGATAGGCATCTTCCTCATCCTCAGTGACTCTGTGGTTGTGATCCAGAAGCTTTTCTGCCGTATCTTTTGATCCTACTAGCCCCAAGTACTAGATCCAACTCATCCTTGAAATCATGCAGTGTTTTGGCTTCGACTGCTTTCTGCGGTAGCAAATTCCGTAGGCCCACCACAGTCTGGGTGAAGAAATTTATCTTCATCTCAGTCCTAAGTGGTTTACCCTGCATCGTTATACAGTGAGCCATGGTTCAGCACCCACCTCATTTTTTCAAAGAGATCCTCCCTCATTTTTCTGAACTCCAGCAAATATAATCCTAACCAACTCAACCTTTGCTCCAACACCAGTGCTGCCATCCCAGGGTGACCTCGAAATATGAAGCTTGTCTTTGGAAGTCATTCAAACAATCCTGAACACAGTTTTCCCCCCACCCCAACAAAGATTTTATTTATAGACAAAGAGGAGGACTGGTTAATATAGCACGTAGTTAATCAGGTGGTTGGGATTAATTGATTAATTATGTAGGGGTAGGTTTCTTGTAGCATAAGGTAGTGTCCCCTGCTCTGGGCTGTGCGGAGCTAGGTTCAAGTACCACTTGCTCCAGAGATGTGTAATAACATGTCTTAATAGGTTGATTAGAAAAAATAGGTTAAATAAAAACAATTAGGGCCCTCTTGTGGTGCAGTGGTAGTGTCCCTACCCCTGGACTGAGAGATCCGGGTTCAAGTCCTACCTGCTTCAGAGGTGTTAATAACATCTCTGAACAGGCTGATTTTAAAATTAAATTGTTGGTTTTCAAAAAAAAATTAAAAAAAGATAGGGTTCTGTGGTACAGTGGTAATGTCCTATTCTTGAGTTAGAAGGCCCCAGGTTCAAATCCCACCTGCTACAGAAGTGTGTGATAACGTGCCTGAGCAGGTTGACTGGAAAATATATGTCGATATAAAGGAGAGGGGCTATTGTCGTGCACTGATTGTATCCTTATCTCTGAGCCAGGAGGCCCAGGTTCAAGTCCCACTGTCTTGGATGTATGTCACAACATTAAAATAAATACAAGTTGAACCGGTTGTGGAAGGATCTGCAAGATTGAGTAGTCAATAAACTGTATTCGCAAAATAAGGTGCCTTGGTTTCTGTCTCACCAACTTGCTTAGGTCCATACTGACATTAGTGAGATGGATTATAATATTGGGAAATATGAGGTTATTTGCAGTTGTCATAAACATAGCGAGCAAAATGTTTTCAGAAAGCATGAAATTTGTCACTTTTCTGATGAACTTGCATGTACTCATGCGAAGTTCACATAAAGTAAACATGCCAGTGTACAGCAAGCAGGAATGCAAAGGCACGTTGGCTTTTATTGTGAAGGGATTTGAGTACAGGAGTAAAAACTTCTTGCTACAACTGTGCAGAGTTTTGGTGAGACCACACCCAGAAACACAGTTTCAAATATGGCCCCCATATTCAAGGAAGGATATATCCTGTTGGAGGCAGTACGGCACTGGTTCACTAGATTGATTCTTAGGTTCATGATTTGTCCTGTGATGAAAGGCTTAGTAAATTGGGTTTATATTCTCCAGAGTTCAGAAGAATGAGATGTGATCTCATTGAAGTATACAAGACTCTGACAGGATAGACGTTGGGAGGTTATTTCCCTGATTGGTGAATTTAGAACATGTAGTACAATCTCAAAATAAATGGGCAATTGTTTGAGAGTAGGATGTGGAGAAATTTATTCACTTAGTGTTGTAAATCTTTGGCATTCTCTGTGTCAGGGAGTTGTAGATGTGTCACCATATTTAAGCTGAGATAGGCAGATTTTTGATCCAAGGAACTGAAGATATGGGGGCAGGCAAGAAAGTGAATTCAAGTCCAAAATCAGTCATGATCATATTGAATGATGGAGCAGGCTTAAAGGACCTATATCGTCTACTACTCCTCCTTATTTTTTTCGCTAAATGTAAAAACAAAAAAACGTAAAATAAACCATTATGACCCCCCCTTCTAAATATAATTTTATAAGGTATGATAAAAAGTAACCAGTATGACTGCACTGTTGACTGACTTAAGTGTATATTTGTCATTATTCACAATAACCCATAGGGGTCTCTGATGCATCACAGAATGGCCTTGTATCCATTTATGATGTTCAATAATTAAATCCTAATTTTATTTAACCACTCTTGAGGTTAGGGGTTTCATCAGTTATAAATAACAAATAAGTTACTTGACCTGTTTTACATTCTTCAACCTAGACCAAACATTAGTCTTATTTATTTTAAGTTTACCTATGAAAATGGTGACATCCCATAGGTCCAAGACGCCTGCTGTCCAAATATAGTGCATGATGGTGTACTGAGTTAGCTCTAGTGGCTTCTGAATTTTAATGATGTTGGAGATATTGTGTGTCCTTCAGCTTGTTAAACTGACATGACCACTCCATAAATCATAATACCTGTGTATCATAAAATCAATACAAAAATGCAAACTCAGCGTAAACCCTTAAGTAATCTTTTTCTCTTGCAAGAATCTTAGGCTTTAATCTTGAGATGAAAACCGATTAGATGGTTGTATAAAATCAAAATATATTTTAATTTACATTGCGATTAAAAACATAAAAATTCAGAGTCAAACATCAACAAAAAAGATGACAGTAGATTAAATTTTGGTCTTTACTTTTGTGGTCCAGTTATTTACAACTCAAATTTAAACTTCTTTATTTTTGTCCTCCAGCAAAAACAGGGAAGCTTAAACAGTCAATAAATGTTAATCCAGTTAGAACTCTTGTACACAGCTTGTGGGTATTTTGAAACTTGTTTTGTTTCATCTTGCCTTGAAAGTGGTGATCCCCAGAGTAAGTGAGTAAAGCTAGAGGCCTCCCACAGACTTGTAATACGATCTTTCAAGTTTAACCCTTATTTGTAGATGCAGTAAAAACCTTAACATTAAAAGTGACCAACAACAAGTAGGATGTAGGTATTTTGTGATTTGTGGCCAGGTCTTCACAATCAGTAATCATACAGCTAATTTTCTTGATTACATTCCTGAACCTATTCAGATTTCTAACTGATGCTGCCCGCCGTGAACGTGAGCAGATGAGAAAACGACATCAGGCCAAGTTAACACCAGCCCTTTCCAGTCCTGTGGGAAGGGGGGGCACACCTGCATCACCTCACCCTGGCAACGGAAGCTCCGCTTTTCCAGGGACACCACCAGTTACACCATCCTCTTCAGCCTGCAGTGGAACACCAACAGGTTGGTACTCCTAAAGAAAAAAATCTACATCGGCCTTTTAGCAGCCGGATTTTGATAATTATGTCAATAATAAATTTACATGAACATTGTATAAGTATACATTTTAAAATAAGCTTATACAGGATATCCATGGGCTAAGTAAGTAGAGCTTAATCAGTGAATGAATATTGAAGATCAGCAAAACCTCTATATGATTCAGAACACATTTTTGAGTCCCTGATATTGCTGGATTTTATGAGCAAATAAGCTGTTTTGCAGCCATAAATTATGGTAGATTTATTTATTTTGGCAGATTAATTTGAACTGAGTATCCTGTCTTGCTTGTAATGGAATCTTTTGAATGCTGGTAGAATTGTAGTGATTAAGTAAACTTTGATTTTAATATAATTTAGTGGGAATTATTGGTTTGACCATGCTGCTCCTCTAGTCATGAAAACAGGAAAGGAAACAAGAGCTATAATTTGCACGTACAGAGTTCTTTTAACATAAATCTCCCAAGGTGTTTTACAGAGATGGGAAAATGGAGAGAGTTTACAGGAGACCAAAACTTTGGTGAAAGAGGTGGAGCTGGAAGGAATTCAGGAGAATGAAATCTAGGAACGTGGAAAGTTGGCCAGTAGTGGGTTGAATGGAGTGGATAACCAAACTGGAGTCATGAACTAGGAATTCAAAGAGGGGCTATGTTAAGCACTGGAGAAGAGATGAAGCTAAGGAGCGCAAGGCCATAGATTTAAGGTCAAAGAGGTTAGATTTGTTGGGGATGTTGGTGGGGTTGAAATGCTGAAAAGGAAATTTAGCTACTGCACTGAGCCGAGAAAATAAATGAGTATTGAATTAGATTGAAAGTTTTTTGAAAAAAATTAAACGCTATTAGGGCTGCAAGATGATAACTATAACTGCATATATATAAAAATATATAAGCCATTAACTTGCATTGGATCCATTGTTAATCTTGGAAAATGGAAGTTATACCACAGCTGAGCTACGTTGGTTTGTGTAATTTTCATTGAATGCATGCAGGTCATCCATATATGGCAATGATTAATTCCTGGTTTTATTGCACTGTTTACTAAACATGCAATACAATAAGAGTCCATCAGCTATTACAGTTCTTATGTATGTGGTAAACATTCTGTAGGATTTATGCAGTCATAACAATCATTCCAGCTTTCATTTTCGATTGTATACTTTTTGGCGCGTGAGAAAAACACTTGATACCAGATATCTGCTTTGCAGTATTCCAGTTATTAAACTCCCAAGTCATAAATTTTAGGCAGAATCAAATACTAATTTAGACTCCATTCCTCCTCCTGCAAAAAATAGCTTACAGTGAATGTGTAACTAGTTATTTGAAGAAAGTAACATAAACCTAAGGTATTCACTGTTCAAGTGCAATGTATTCAGATTCTCAGTGTACTATGCAGATTACGGAATGTCTTCCCTGATTGATTGCAACAGCTAAAATATGTAATTAACATTTTAACAAACTTGTTTCATATAATTCGATCATTTAAAACAGACCATTTTATTCAGCACGAAGTTATGCTTGAAGTGTTTTCCTCGAGGAAGGTTGCACTTGTGTGGGCCAGATAGGAGCCCTGGGAATGACCTGGTGCTGGTCTTTAGTAGTTTAATAAGGTCGTAATGTGATCGCTATGCTGAAAGCTGCAGCCACAGTTACTTGCACGCAAAGCCATGCATGAGGTACTGCAAGGTTTAACATGTTCTGAACAGTGTTCGTTCCAGTGCAAAAACTATGTGGCTTCTAACTGAGCATAGTGTGTTAATGAAGCAGTTATCCTCCAGGAAGTATTTTAGGTAAAATATACTAGTTAAAAATGCAGTATCAACATAACTTGTTAATGTAGCTCGGGGGCCACGATTTATTTAAAAATCTGTATTGCTGTAAAGAAGTCTTACTTGTATTCAATATTTAGGTTTTGCCAGGCAAATTCAAACCAAAAGATCAGACTCTCAATTTCATGTACGATTCATGGCATGCATCTTGTTGCACAGCTGTGCATCACATTAGAGAAGGCAAATTAACATTTGAATGTCTTCTGAAGTGGATGCTAATTGCAGACTGTTAATTACTGTCATTAGGTAGGCTGCTAAGAGGTGCAACAAAGCATCAGACTCATGATCTTGTTGTTTGAAAATGATCTCCATCTAATATAAAAAACATGTCACTTACTGAAACTGTAAATGCAAAATTTGCTGATGCTGTTGAAAATTTCGCCATCAGTAGCCTTCTTCTGATGGATGCATTCTTGACACTGTTTCAGTGTTTAGAGACTGAAAATAATGAGTATCAATGTTCTATCATCGGAATATGCAAAGCTGAAATAGATTCTATGTGTCTTTTAATTAAAGGAAACGTTAGTAGACTCTTTGCACAGTTATATGATTAAATCTGATGATTCAGTTCCATTACTGGTCTCTGAACATGACTGTGCGCCAGGCTTTCAATGCGGCTTTAATGACAGTGTACATAAATTTTAAGTTGGAAATGGTTTATTTACACCAATAATATTTACAGAATGCATTATAAAATGAAATATGTAGTTTTCATAGTTTTGTTGTTTTCAGGGCCTCTTTCTGTGTAAAACAAGACTTTCAACTGTAGTTTTTAGTTTACAGGTTGTTACTGAGGTTCTAAATTTTCATGTAGTGCTTTGAGGTGGCATTCAATACAGATTACTTGATTGTTAATATCTTATCAAATGTGACTAGGTTGATGTTTTCCAAGTGAAGGATTAAAAGATTTTTTGCTCATTTTGTATCTTTATGCCCCTTGTTAACTTTTTGTAGCAGTAGATGTTTTTCAGTTTAAACTGAAAAATGCTCACTTTTCTATTTGTACTTTATTCCTTTCCTTTATTTCCCTCTTTCTTGCAGATCGTTGTAGCTTTCTCTCTTCTGTGTGTGGTGCTTGTTGAATTGTTTATCCTTGCTTCAGTTGCTTGGTTAGTGTGCCGCTAGTTGAAATGATTCATGGCCCTGACAGATGTCTGGTACAGCTGGATGTGTCCTTGATCATCCCAAAAGTCTGGACAGCACTGTCATTCACCATTGCCCAAATTATCTTTGTATTGACTGTGGAACCCTCTGTGACAGAACTGTAATGGCTAATTACCCAGGATGCCTTTGGCAGTTCAAAACACAACTGTGTTTGCTATGTGGCTATTGAGTGTCTTACATTTATAATAGTTTCATAGGGGAGGGTGAGTGGACAATAGTCTTCATTTAAACAATTCTTCTAAATATGGATTTCTCTTTTAAAAAGCTAACCTCATCTCTGTTTACTTTCTTTCCTGAATCTTTAGGCAGCGAATTAGATGAAGAAGAAATTGAATGTGAAGATTCTGACAGTGATGAATCATGGACAACAGAAAGTGCTATTAGCTCTGAGACTATTCTAAGTTCAATGTGTTTGAATGGGGATGATGAGAAGCCATTTGCTTGCCCTGTACCTGGCTGTAAAAAGAGGTACAAGGTATGTATTGTGTCCAGCAAACGAGCTGTCCTTGAGAATGCCAATAAAAAGGCTCTTAAAAGGTGACGCCTTTCTATTTACACGGTTCTGCAATGCATAACAGAAACTAAGATCAGAGATTTCATTTTTCACAACTTTTCAAATTAACAAGCTTTTGCTCAGTGTTCCTATGAATCATAAATGTGTATTAGAATGAGGTTTTGGAGAGGGAATAGAGGGTACAAAATCCCATTCTGACTGTTAGTGAAGATGATGAGTTCCCTTGAGGCCAGACAAACCATAGTGGGAACAGCTTTTCACACAAAGAATACAGTAATTTGCCACATCCTGTCCAGGTCCTGTTTGAATGTCAGTCCTGTCTTAATTACCAGTATAACAAAGCTATTCTATGTTATTCTGAAATCTTTCTGGCTCCACGTCTGATGCACGAGAGCCGTCCAGCTGAATTGCTCAAACATCATTATTGAAAGAGCAAGCAGACTCAGTAGATTAATAGTCTTTGGAATGCCTGGCACAATGGAGGGAACAACAAATAAAGGGTAATGGTTTAGACGGAAGCCTAAACCAGATCCTCTGTAGGGGATAATGCAAGGCAAATTTGCTGGTTTTGAAGAGCTGCTATTTATGTGACTAAGGAGGAAACAGTGGTATGGAGCGAAGCTTAACTAGTTTAGCAGATTTTTGCATTAAGCTTGAATTTTACTCGAGTTGACTGGAGTAGAACAAGCTGAATTGATAAATATGTAAATGCATTGAGAATTTTTACTTAACCATATTTCAAAAAGCTAACTTTTTGACTTTTAATTCTGATTTACGACCTAACTAAAACAGAAATTTAGACAAGAATAACTTTATCTCAGTTTGTTACCACTTTATCAGTATAAACATTTGAGGATTCCATGTAATATCAAAATGTAATCTATGGACAATTTCCATGCTATTAACCTGTTCTTTGGGTCCACAGCTTCACAATTGTTTTTCTTCTGTTTAATGATATCTGTCATTCATGTGGTGATAGCTATTATTAAATGTCGTAATTGGAGACTCATTTTGGTTAGTGCTGCTAATATTAGTCTGAAATTTGGTTTTATAACCAACAAGTTGAAAATATGTCTTGCATTATAAAAGGTGCAGATATTTATATTACTACAGTAATCTCTACTGCAAGAATGTCATTTATCTATAACGTTGCTGTTGATTGGCATTTATTAGTATTGGCATCTAAATGTGATTCATTGCAACAGAAACTCATCTGATATAGAAAATTAATTTCTTCAATAAGATTTTATTTTGAGAACAGTGAACTGCATCTTGTTATTAAATTGTTATCTTGACAGCAACTAAATTATCTTAAACTCAGACTTAACTCTTTCAAAAGGTGCAAATTTTTACCTGCTTCTATATTGTTGACAAAGTTGGTCTGCTTTTTGTTTTCATCTTTTCATTTTACCCAAATTTTCTTTGCTGCCTTGCTTTGCTAATGTCATTGATTCCTTAGTAAACATTGGACAACATTGCCCTTAAAGAGTGTATTTAGATATGATGTACATATATACATATGTAACTTGAGGTGTGGATAGATATCTGGCATCACATAAGCATTTGGTATTGTGATCTTTTGCTGTTGTGCAACAGCCCTTCAATGATATTGTACAAGGATTGCTGCATCAGAACGTGAACTAGCTTTTGTAGAGATGAACGGAATCAAATTGAATGAACATTTCTTTTCAATTTACTCCCACATAGAGCCCAAAGGCAACTGAAACCTAATGTTGAACAGAATCTAATTATTTGCAGCTCAGTGCATCTCCTTATGCATTTTAGTCTAGTTGTGGCAGAGGAACAATCACCTTTATGCGATTTGTTAACATATAAAACATCTTAATGTCTGAAGTTCAATTGTGACCATTATTATACTTTTGAGCCCTTCATTTTAACCCTCATGGTTTGATTGTATTTCTGTGTATATTTTGTGATTAGAAAATTCAAGTCCATTTGCCCACTGACTGCAAATTTCACTGGTTTCCTGCCCATTTTATAAATATGTACATTTGTCGGAAGGAAATAAAAACTGCTACAGTCTTTCATTAATTTGTTAATTGGAATACCTTTTTGACAGCAGAGAAACCTAATCCTTTCGTCTGGTTCCTGGACAATATAATTGTTAAGAGGTGCTTAGAATTCCAAGTATTTTATGGTAGTTGGAGGCAGAACTGAGCCCACCCACAACTACAGTTTGATCTATTAAAACCCTGTGTTGCAGAGTTGACAGGATTACTGCTTGTTAAATATACTAAACACAAAGCATACCTGGGGAAGAAAAGGAAAAGAGTGAAAGATTAAGAAATCTACCCATGGAATAAGAGTAAATGACCTGAAACAATGTGTAAGGATTGCATTTTGATATAATTGCCTTTTCTATTATGTATGTGTAACATTTTTCCTGCAACTTTAGACTCTAGTTGCTTGTGATACTGGTAATGATTGATCCGATGTTTAATGGAAATGGTGATAGAGGATATATATACTTAAAAATTGATATGTTTTTGGAATGGGAAATAAGAATTGTCAATGTCTATTTTGAAACCTTGATAGGGCAAGTGCACAGTCAAGTCAACTGTTATGGAAATAATATTAAAAATGCATTAATTAACTTTTATATCAATGCAATAATTTTCATTCAGCTTGCTTTTGTGAAGTTTATCATGCTTTGTGAATTAGTAGTATTCCTAATTGAGTTGGTTAATCATAAAGTTTTGGACTTCATTAATCTTTTATTGTGCTAGAATCATGAAGAATATTAGTTACTGGAAATTATTCTTTTCTGATTTACCATTATATCTAAATTTTACTTTAGAAGATGTTTGAAATGCTAATAGCTCAAAGATATAGCCATATACATTTAACGCAAACTCTGCTTGTGAGACTCAGTCAAGTTGACATTTATGTAGTACAAACAAGATAGACATATCATTATTAATCTCTTGTTGATATTATAAGCTAATAATCCCCATTTTAGAGCAGTCGAAGTTTATTACCTGCTAGTATTTGATTTGTTTTCTACCAAAAAAAACACAAAGTCAGAATACAAGCCAAATTGGGGTCATAAATAGATATTTATATAAATTCTGTTAATATGTTCTTATTGCAATATCTGAACAGATTTTCACAATGATTCTAACTATGCTGCATTTCTGCTAGAATGTTAATGGAATCAAGTACCATGCCAAGAATGGCCATCGTACTCAAAGCCGTGTCCGGAAGCCTTTCAAGTGTCGTTGTGGGAAAAGCTACAAGACTGCTCATGGGCTTCGTCACCACACTATTACCTTTCATCCACCAGTGTCAGTTGATATGCTTAGAAAGATGCAGTTGTGAGGCATTATACCCTTACTGTTCTAGTAAATGAAGGCTTGGTGTTCTAAGAGGAGTGAGCAGGAATTTTTGCTTTCTCTCAAGATTACTGCCACAAGTCTTGGGAGAAGAAAAGGTTCCTCAATATTTGTTTTCATGTGTTCCCCTAACGGCATAAGATGCTGCTAAAAGTCAGATACAGTGTTTTAAATTTTAATTGTGAATTCCAGGGAAAGTACTTTAAATGATTTCAGTGCTTCTAAAAGCACTTTTTCTTTAATACTCTACAATATGCAATTTTAGGTCATAACTTAAAATTGTCTATAGAATAGTTTTATATTTTTATTCTATCTCAAATTTTTTTGAAAACTGTCATCAGTTGTACACTAAGGTGCTGCTACACTTTAAACCTAGATGTTCCAAACTTACAGATCCAAATAAAGGCAAACTAAAATTGCCACTGTAATTTGTAGATTAGCAACTTATTTTGTGGGTTAAGTGTGGGGGTTGAGCAGAGCTTTCTACCTGACTCATTTGACATATACCACTAGGTTGAGTGCTGTGTTATGTTGGATTATCAAGTTTTTTGGAGAGATGGGACGGAGTGTGGGAACAATCTTCTCTCATATGCAGTAAAAGTACTTTCTATAAATCTATTCACAAGTAGAATTGGTAGTTGTTATATTGTTTTCCCAAACTCCTCTAGCCTCAATTTGAAGAAAAAAATACTGAATTTCAAACAGCAACCTAAATTTGGAAGATAGATATAGATAGAATCGGATAGTGTCAGAATCTATAACTGGGAGTTAAATTTACTGGATCTGGTAATCTGACACAGAATATCATTGTTAGTGGCTTTTGTCATGAAATTAGAGAAGGAATTACCACACTAGTTATGTAGTTAATAAAGATGTATAGAACTAAATGTAGTAATCATTGTTCACAGCTTTGAAAATACTTAATTTCTTGAGGCATATGTGATCTTTAGTTTGCTAAATCAGTATGTGTGTTTAATTAAAGAAGTATGTGCACCATATGGCTCTACATAAGGTTAGTCTGTTTGCAGCTAAATAATGTACAGTTGCATGTAAAAATTCTGTTGTCAGTAAGTTAAGCCATGATAATTTGGTTAGTTTTTTTTGGAAGCCTGCCTAAGACATAATACTGACCCAGTTCTGTTTTTATAATTCAGTATTACTGTACTGTGCAATTTAGGAGGGTTCAAGATTCTATTTCCATGGATTTGAAAATAGAGATGCCCTGACTTAGTTTGTAGAATTGTAATATGCTCCTATTCCTTTACGTTTCCTCTTCAAAATAAAAGGACTAACCTATAACCATTAAGATTGCCCCAATCCTAATGTAGCATTCTTTATTATATTGCTTGCAAGCTACGATACTTTATGATAATGCTTAAAATTTGGCCACTATTGAGATTTTGAAGTGGCATTGAAAAAGGAATCTCAAGATACCTTAACATGTTCATGCTGTGTGCTACAGCTGATAAGTATTTTGTACGTGTGACATACTGTAGATACTATAGAATGAAATCTGACCTGAACATATGTTCCCTATTTGCTGTTTTCTCTCCCCTCCACCCCATATTTCAAATGGTTTACAAGTGAGAAAAGCTGATCAGTTTGGATTGAAGGCTTTTACAGATGCAATGAATGTAGCTTTGTTAGTAAGTGGGGACCCAATGTGTCTTCTGGCTATCTTTTTCCACTTGTGCTGTCAATGGAATTCTCCACCCCTGCAAAGTAACTAAAACAGCCCTTCTGACATTTGGCAAAACTCACCCATAGAGGGTAGCAGAGGTCAAAAGACAGCCAAAGCTGAAGTCTGAAACTGTCTTCTTGAATACATCCGTCAACAGCTATTGCTACATGAACCAGAATATCCAACCCTCTACCTTTTCTAAGCAAACAATGTAAACTAAAACCATTTTAAGTGCTAAGTATTGTTAGACTCAAAGCAGCGTATCCCATGCTTTTGAGAAAGATGAACAATAATTTGTCAATTTTAATCAAAATATGAAAGATATAATATTTTAAAATTGAAATCTCATAGCATAAATATATATTAGAAGTGAAATCATTCTATAATAACATAAACATTGACTTTGAATATTCTACTTCCTTGTTAATTGCTGGTTTGAGAAGTTCTTATTTGAAAGAACTTACTTTAGATCTGTCATTTTAATCACTGCCAAGATAAGTCTTTTTTTTCCACCTTGAAAAATGCTGTTCTTTATTAAATGCTGGATAGATACTAGGTGGGGAGATGCACTATCGTTGCACAAAAGCCTTATTAATACAGTTAAATTTTAAAATGTACATCTCTTTGACATTTACATTTCACGAACTTTTTATTTATAATTCAACCCATTGAAAAATCTCAACTTTAATTCTGTTCCCAGAATACAACTGAGACCTTCAAAGGGATAAAATGAAAAGAAATAGCCTGAATTGTAAAATATGCATATTAGGTATTGTGCAACAGATAGTCAAATGGTGCTGATAAAATAGTGCAGCAAGTTGTGAGACGTACCTTGGATTCACCCCTTCAGAAAAAGCCCTCTCATTTAAAAGGTTAAAATGTTCTGAACATCGTGAACTTGACTATTGCAGGGAAAAGTTCTTTAATCGAGCACAATTTTTCTTTGAATTTCTAAGAATATCCTTTTTGGTGGGGATGGGGGAGCAAAAGAAAGATGTGATGAATTGAATTATGAATCTTAAGAAATTAACATTTTTAATGAAATGGAATTTATTTATCGGAAGGTTTAAAGAATGAATTTTCTAAGGTTACATCTCCCGTTATTAAGGACAGTATTTGGTTTGGATTGATGGCAATATAAAATCACCCAAAATAGATAAGAACTTGTTTTGTGGAGGCTGGGAAAAATGTTCTTACTTGCTGGTCTTTAAAAAGATAATCACTTTCCAGCCATATAACAGATTTTCAGTAATTGAACAGTTGTCATATGTATTAAATGCAGGAAGACAACCTTGGTTTATGTAACAAAAACAGAAAATGCTGGATGCACTTAAGTCTGGCAACTTTTGTCAAGAGGGAAACAATTATTTCACATTAATGACCTTTCCTCAGACCATGTATTTATAAGAGTTAGGTGTATTCAGTTTTTTCTTGGAAAATGCATAAAAATAATTGTTTAATGCAGAAACTGGCATACTTTTAAGTTTCCAATAAGTCATGCAAGTTCATGATCTTTAAGTATTTGAACGCATTTTGCAGTTTTCAGAATAATTTTCATTTAATTAGATATTCACCAATTGCTGATGCAAAGATAGAAAAATATAAAAAGACATTGAATATTTATTTGCAGTTAAAAGTGAGTTAAATGTACTGGAGTGTATTGGTTATGTTACAAAAATAGTAAGTGCTAGACCTGAGCTACTAATAGAATGGGAGTTCAAATCCTACCATTGCAATTTGAAAAATTTGTATTTGGTTTTAATGTAAATTTGGAAAAAAAAGGTTTTTATTTGTTCACGGAATCTGAGTGACACTGATTAGACCAGCAGTCATTGTCCATGCCTAATTGTCCAAGCATTGTTGCATTGTTGAAAGTGATGAAGCTGTGAGGTTGTCTTGACCTATATGCGACTCCAGTCCCACATCAAAATGATAAACTTTTAATGAAATCTGATATTTAGCAAGCTGTTACAAAGAATGTTTAAAGCTCCATATTTGTATGTGATTATGAGGAGCATGGACAGGGTGCAGCTGTTCTGCTAGTTGATGGGTCGGTAACAAGGGGGCATCATTTTAAGATGAAAGACATGAAATTTAGAAGGGATTTGGGGAAAGACTTTTTTCATCCAAAGAATGGGAATGTGGGATGCACAACCCTGGGAGGGTAGTAGAGGCAAGAAACCTCACAATCTTTCAAAAGTACATGGACGAGTACTGGAAATGATATTCAAGGCTATGGGACAAGTGCTGGAAAGTGGGACTAGTATAGTGAGGTCGCTGCAGACTCAATGAGCTGAAAGGCCTGTTCTATGCTGTATGATTCCACGCCTTGTGTTTTATGAACATTTTGGATCACTTGCATCATAGTCAATGACAGTAGATAGCCCATCATCATCTCAGGGCAACTAGTGATGGGCAGTAAATTCCAGCTTTGCCAGCAGTACTCAGATTACAAGAAAGAATTGTGCAAAAAAGTGCCACTGGAATATTCTTAAGATTAACTTAAAAGAGTTCCTATATTTGAGAAAGATTTTGCAACTTTAAAGCTACTCTTATTTATTCATTTCTGTAATGATTTAAAGTGATTTCCAGGTGTAGTTGTAGTACAATGTATCCAGTCCAAAGGCAGGTCATAGCCAAACCACACAACACTAAATGGTGTTTTGCTGCTACTTAAATTTCACAATTTTTGGTGGATTGTTATCAACTATTAATGGGTTGATTTGACTTTCTTTACCAGATCCATCCATTTATAAAAATTAATGAATAATCTCAATTTAATGTGAATAAATAGCACTCAATTCTTTCAGTTTTGTTTTATGTAATATGATCAACTACATCAATATACAGCTGTCCATTCCTGTATTTTCTGTAAGGGACAAACTGAAGTGTAGCATTGGTGCAGCCTTTACAGCCAGTGAGTTGGAGGGTTGAATTTCCAAGGGTGTTCTTCCGATTGAGGAGCCATAGGTAGTCAAGCTACAATTGGACAATCATGAGAATTTTAATAGAAATTTACCCCTATAATACAATATGTTGAACTTAATTTCATTGTGTTAATTGAGATGCAATGACAGCAAACAAGAATGATATAACCATCCAAATCTGCCCTGTCTAGAATATACTTGCTACAGCAGCACCTGTCATCATGCATGTTGACCATGGCATCCTGCTTAGGCAGAAATAGATTATGCACATGCTATATTGCATTGAGATGGGATAAAAGAGTAGAGCATGCCAAGATGACATGAGCCAGTTCTACAGCAAATTTCCCAATAAATTGAATAGCCAGTTGGGGGAGGTGAAATTACAAATCTTGTGCTAACATGGAGAAATCAATTCAATATTTAAAAGGCTAGAATACTATTCTAGACTATACCATTGCATTTTTAATCTCTGGTGCACAAATCAATGGCAAAGAAATTGCTCCCTTAAGGCAATTCTTGTGGTAAAATCAATGAGAAACTTTGTCACTCCCTACTCCCTTTTGATATTAAAATGCAAACAGTCATGTATATTTCTTTATCAGTGCAGATTTAAAATGAAATTAGATTTGCAGCAAATTTTAGTTAAATTTTTAGTGACTTAGACACTGGAATCATTTGAAAACAACTTATACTAGCAACTTTCATTTCCTGCATATTACTAAATGTGTCATTCCAAGAATGCTGTTAAATATCCCTGATCCAAAGGCACCCTGATCTGCAAGCACAAGAAACAAAAAGAAACATTTTATTTAATGATGACCCTTTACTGTCTGACCAACTTTATTTTGAGTTTGTTAATATCGATATTTTAACTTTGTGTAGTTTCAAATATTTATTTTTATCATGTGTGTGATTTGCTTGCATAGCACACTGCTTTTTGGATTAAATCACGTCTGGTGATCAAATTAAACTTTTAATACAAGCTATAAAAATCCTATGTGAAATTTGATTGCAAGAATAAATTGAGTTTCTAGTTGGTGTGGGCCCACAGCAAAAAAACTGCCATTTTCTTGCCAATTTGTGCCAAATTTTGACCGATCTCATTTAGAGGCTATTAAGGTTGTTGGCATCAAAGTAGTGCTGTACTGCAGTTGGACAGAACAGAGAGATATTCACTCTGCAACTGACACATGTTGTACTTAACCTGACAATTGATGCTGATACCACGTGCCAAAAGTGTAAATATTATCCATTCCGTACCTTGAGGAACAAGAACAAATTCAATACATTAATCAGAATGCTGCTTTTTTTCTCTTTAACACTTTTGAAGATCGTAATCTTTGTGGTCAAATTTTATAAATTGTTTATTCTCAAGTTCTGTGTAAGCATTACCATTCAGTGAACTAGAAATGGTTGAATAGCTTAAGTGTTTTTGAGTTGCTTGTTCCAGTCTGGATACTGCAAATTGAAATTTAAAGATTGCCTGAGACTTTAACTTTGAATGCTG